GCATTTCACCCCCCACACCTTGTTGTTAATCTAGGAGGATTAGTGCTACTGGCATGGAATGGGAGTCAAGGGATGCTGCACCTCCTCCCCCTTACAATGCATAGGGGAAAACCCTGCAACAAAGACTCCTCTGACTTCAAACATTAACAGTGTCAAGTTGAGAAATATCCGTGCGGGAGTGTAAGCCCCATGTGACCAGCAAGTTTCCTTTTTGATCTTCACTGTGCACTAAGTGTTAGATGACTAACTGTGAGGTTGTCAGTTCAATGCTGCCAGCCACTTCTGTGGGAGAAAGATGAGGCTCTCTGCTCCTGTGATGATAGCTAGCATTGGAAACCCTGTAGAGGATCAATGTGAGTCAGTATGGACTCAGTGGCAGGGGTTTGGCGTAGGTTTGGGGTGTCTTCCCAATGCTTGTCATACTGTAGGCACTTGGCACGTGCTTATGGAAGGAAATTAGGGAGGAACGGAGGCCCCAAAGAGGACAATGGGTTCTTGGAGGCCGTGTTAGAACCACATCAAGTGTGGCTGAAGTCTCGAGCCCCTGAGGTTGGGGAGAGGAAGGACTGAGGTAGCAGAGATGGAGCTGGGAGAAGACTGGAGTCGGAGTCGGAGGAGCCTGCAGTCCTGGCTTGAGCTTTTTGCCTTCATTCTGTAAGTAATAGGGAAGCCTGGAAGGCTTTATTCCCACTAATGAGATCTTTGCAGCTGAAAATTCTCTGTCAAGCTGGTGCCCTCCCAAGAACTGCAGGGATGGTGAGAAGGCTGTGCAAAGAAAGGAGCCAGAGTCAGCGCTCAGCTCCCCCAACAGTGCTCCTCGTTGCATTGATACACGTTGGGCAGCCCTATAGTCCGTGATCGGCAGAGCTGGGAAGCACTTTTTGCAGACTCTGAATGAATGGATAGGTGTCTTCAGAGCACCGAGTCTACTAGCTTTTCTGGGTGTCAGGCTCCCTGCTGTTTCTAACCCAGTGAGGTCTTGGGCAGTAATTTCCTCTCTGTCCCTCATTTTCCACAAGTGTCAGCACTGTCCATCTCTCAATACTGGGAGTAGCTGTTGTGGTAATCATTTCTTTTAGAAGAATTAATACAAGACCAGAGCTAAGGAGTTGGAGATTCAAGATGTCCAACTCTTCCAAGATGCTATTCAACTCCATTTCCACCTGCACCCCCCTCCTCCCTTGAGCATACTCCCTCACACGCGTAGTTGTGCAATTTGCTGCAATGCCATCCCGCATTCATGAGAAACTCATGAAACTTTGAGGAAATGTCCCCCATGGTGGTGGGTGCTGGAGACTCAAATCCAAAGGTCAGACAGAGGCGAGTCAAATGCAGGATTCAGAGCCAAAAGCAAAGAATATAACAAAGCCACAGGAGGTCTTCTTGCTGCTAGCGGAGCTCAGTCAGGACATAGAGGGTTAGGCTTTTCAGGTGAGGATGTGTAGACGTTGTACAGAGGTACCAGCATGTGCACCCCAGCCAAGGAGCACGAAGGGTGGTGTCTTCAGTCTTAAGTCACACCCTGTAGTAAAGTCGTCTTAAACACCCCCCACCCCCGGAAGGAAACAGAGCGTGACATGGTTCACATCCTCTATTAGGGGAGGGCTAAAGATGCCCCCAAGGAAAGGATTTGGTTCGTGCCCACTACTAAAGCAAGGTCTTAATCCCACTCTAATCCTGCCCGTTAGAATAGTAAAGAATGCCCTCCAAATTGGGATTATAACCACAGATTCCCGATTTAGGTATCTGTTGATATTTTTACATAGATTCCAGAATTATATCACAAGGGGAATTAGGGATAGAAGGGCCATAGTAATTGACCACAACTCAGCTGTGTGTATAAAAAAGGGTGCCATTAGGGCCATATCATCAATAGGGGTTCACCATGCTGCCCAGTGGAATCACCTGATGCATTTGGTCTTGGATGGGGCCTTACTTCGATCACTGCTTGAACATTAGGATCCCCTGGGACACATTTTACTACTATGGAAGTGCAGGCCCTGCCCCGGCCCTATTAAATGATGAGAATCTCTGGGAGTGTGGCCCAGGCCCGGGTGATTCTATGGGGCAAAGTGGTGAGCACCGCAGGAGATGCCTCCCTCCAGCAGGTGGTCCTGATGCAGGTGGTTCCAGGACTTCTGTGTTCATGGGTCGCTGTGGTCCCTGTCTCAGTGTTCTTTTGGGTCCAGGAAAGGTGTTTTCTCAGCTCCAGGGGCAGAGACCCTGAGCATGACAGGTCTTCAGAGGCTTTGGAAAAGAGACTTGTATGGACTTCTTGTGGGTCGCAGAACATTGACTGGGAGATGTGAAAGGAAAACTGAAAATAAGCGACCAGGAGGAGATGAGGTACATACACCCATACCTCTCTCCCCAAGCCCGCTGCAGTCAGGGCACTTCTGACTCAGAGCGACCCAGAGTGAGGTTCCGAGACTGCAGCGCTTCCGCGGAGCAGACAGCCCCATCTTTCTCCCACAGAGCGGCTGGGTCTGGACTGCCCGCCTTCCAGCTCCAGCAGGCCCATGTCGAACCCACAGCGCCACCAGGCCTCCTCTGCAGCATCCGAAAAGTGGAATTCAAGGAGGCATGTTGCAATATTGTGCTTTCCAAGGAAACAGACACCGGGCTGTGTGTTGCAAGACCCTTGTCAAAGGAAGAGGTTCCAAGGACAAGTGGCGCAAGGCTGTGCGGTCCCAAGAAGTGAGTCCCGTCCTCGGCACCCCGGAGCCGGAACAAAGTTTAACGCTGGCTGATCTTGACCAACCCCCTCCCGGGACATTGCCCTAGCACTACACTTCCAGCTTCCTGACCACCTTCTTCTTGGTCCTCTCTTCCCTTCCTCAGGCCTGTCCCCAGCACGCAAACTCACAGGAGGGAGAAATCTGCGCCTGCGCAATGGGAGGGGTGGAGCCCAGCGGGTGGCTTCAGAGGAAGCACAGGATCTGTTGACGCGGCCTGACCTCAGAAAGGAAGCTCGTGCACCAGGGGGAAATTCCCCAGCTGAGGTCTCCTGTTTATGCAAATATTGTACTCCCAGTCACCTGGACCCCCGGAATGGGAGAGGGGTGAGGGAAACAGGGAAAGGGTAGGGTGGGGTATGTGTGCCAGAGGCAATAGCAGGGA